AGCATCCAGTAAACAGCACAATTTTATCTATTTAAACCCATCTGGTATTCTATTCAGGAAACCAACAAGAGGACTTATGATCATGGCCTGAAACATCCTTCCCAATCAAGCAGCTTGACAAAGAGTTCTGGAGAATGTAAAGCCTTGCACACTGTTTTGTGTCATTTTGGTTGGGCTTAATAAAAAGGTATTACGAGGCTTTTGTTTAGGGACATTGCCCCTGCCTTTCCCCATATTTGATGGTGATTAATATCTGGATCTCACCTCGCCTAACTGCTGTACCTGTTTTGTTTGGCACATTATTTCACACCATTACAAGTACTTTTGTAGTGCTGAATGCTTTTCATATCTTGTGAGTGAAATTCGTTGTGATCATCAAACTGTCATCTGCATGTGAAACTGTGCGTTCTAGTTGTGATTTTAAGAAAAATCTCTCATTACAGCCTGCCTCATCACATCCTGTGGCTTTATTCCTAATATTTAAAAGGCAGGAGTTGTTCATACATTACAGCTGAGACCTAGCCAAGGATACCAACAATGACCTAGCAACAAAAGGTTGATGGTTGGTGTTGGTGAGGGAAGAGGCAACAGGTGAGCCAACACCCAGTGTGGGCACTGGGCACTAATGACTAGGTCTGAACAGAGTAGACCCCACAGTGCTGGCTTATAACTGAGACCATCCAGTCTGGCTCACTCCTGGACATTTTGAGAGCCAGAGTAGTGTAGAAATTAACAGCACTGGACTAGTATCTGGGAGACCAAGGTTGGAATCCTCACTTGTGCCATGAAAGCTTGCTGGGTGACCCTCGGCCAGTCAGACTCTCTCAGCCTAATCTACCTCACAAGGTTCTTGAGAGGATAAAACGGAGGAGCAGAATGATGTAAGTTGCTCTGAGTCCTCAATGGGGAGAAAGGCAGGGTTCCAAATGAATTAAATTAATTAAAAAAAACCTTCTTGGCAGGCAAATGCTTGTGAAATGCTACTGAAAAATTAGGGTTGAACTCAGTGGATTTATTTCAGACTGGCACCCCAGAATCTATTGCCAGAAAGTAAGCATGCAAGTTTTTCTTTAAAGGCAGCGTTGAAAGCTCATGCTGGAATTAGCATCAGAGGTTAACTATGTTGGTCTGAAGCAGCCGAACACATTTGAACCCAGTGGCACCTTTAAGACCAACAAAGTTTTATTCTGGGTATAAGCTTTCATGTGCAAGCAGACTTCTTCACATTCATTGAAACAGAAGTCACCAACCATTACATATAGGTAGAAGTGGGGGAGATTGTTGCCAAGAAGAGCTAATTAGACTCAAAATGCATAAATAAATGGACAATAGGTATACCTAAGACTGGAGTAAGGCAGTTTGTAGGACCTATGAATAGCAGCAAATTAGCATACAGCATAATGAAAGAGTTTACAAACAGATGCAAGAACTGAATGAGGTTAGCATCTGTAGTGAGATAAGAAACTAATATTTCTGTTAAGCCCTGGGGGTTTCATTGTCCTGAGTGTTGTGATAACTTGTGACTCAGCAATCTCCCATTCTAGTCTGTTTATGAAATTATTTTGCAATAAAACAGCTACTTTGAGCTCCCCCACTGAATGTCCTGGGAGGCTGAAGCGTTTTCTTACAATTTTCTCAGTTTAGTGATTCTCAATGTCAGATTTATGTCCATTTATCCTTTAGCGAAAGGTTTGACCTGTTTGCCCCCAGGGCCAGCTCGCTCACTAGGTGAACTTGGTGTTCGCCTAGAGTGCACCGGCCAGGGGTCATTTCATAGAAAAAGAGCTGCAGGAGCTCATTAGCATGACTTATTAGCATATGCCACACCCCCTGACATCACCGGAAGTCTGCACCAGCCCCTCTGACAGGCAGAAGCACCTGGGATCCATTCTTTCCCCCCTCTCCCTTCCCTTCGCCTCCAAGTCGGACGAAGGAAAAGGGGAGGGAGAGGATCTCAGGCGCTTCTGCCTGACAGAGGTGCTGGCGTGCCCACAGCCAGCCTGGGTGAATTATAGAATCATAGACTCATAGAGTGGGAAGGGACCTCCAGGGTCATCTAGTCCAACCCCCTGCACAATGCAGGAAATTCACCAATACCCCCCACACACCCCAGTGACCCCTGTTCCACGCCCAGAATATGATTAAAAAAAAACCCTCCAGGATCACTGGGGGCCAAACTGGCCTGGAGAAAAATTGCTTCCTGGCCCCAAAGTGGCGACCGGCATTTCCCTGGGCGTGTAAGAAAGGGCCACAAGAACTAAGCACTGATGCAACCCTTCCTGCTCTACCTCTCATGATTTGCCTAAGTTCACAGAATCAGCATTATGATCCTTTTAAAGTTGAAAGCATGATATAAATGCAAAGGACTATTTGTAAGATTATCTGCAAGAAAGAAGACCAGGACGCATCTCACTTCTGGCAATCACTTGGAGAAACCCTATCACTCAGCTTCCATTGCCCCCCACACACCCCACACTGGAATAAGAACATAATATCAGGCCATAGCACATTGCAATAAAGCCCCTACAACTGTATACAGAAATACTGAGCTTCCCTACCATTTGCCACAACTAGCCCACCACACAACCAGGATCAAGACTCCTAAGTGGACCAACAGACAGGCATACACTCGTTTGAGAAACTGAGTATTACATTACAATACCTCTGGAACATTACAGATCAGTAGAGGCAGCACTTCACAGTGGTCAGAGTTGCAGATTGATGTGGGGAGACCCAGGTTTGTATTCTCACTCTGCTGGCTGAGTGACCCCAGGCCAAATCTCCCCTTCTC